GARCTGCATCTCACAGGCTGCTTCTCAGTATCAGTAGACAGGTTGACACTTCTTTACTTGTCCCTTCATTCGTGATCTGGAATCCCTAAAGAACCTCTCAACTCATAAATTTGCTGTGAAACCATTTTTTAAATATTTTCTGTAGCTAATGTCATTCTTACGATGGTTAGAAACATAGCATTGAAAAGCTCATGCGTAAATGAACACATTTAATTGGAGCAAGACTTCAGTGTTGTGAAGTAAATAAATGCAGAGAGAGAGGGACTCTCAGATGGAGCAATTCAGAACAATCCAATCTCCTTTGGCCAGCCCTGTGCAGCCTAGGACTATTTAGAAACTGGAAACAGTACTGTGATATCYTCTGTGTGAAGGCTGCTCTGCAAAGCAAATGGAGATTGAATTAAGGCTGTGCAGGCCRTGAAATCCTGTAGAAGTAGAAATCTCAACARTAAAATATCCAGATCAGCCAGTGTTCATGAGTCCAAAACAMATTTCAGGTGCAATAAACTGCTGCAGATTCAAGCACCCCAAAGGTTAGTAAGATAACCAGTTGAGTAGCATCCAAGCCTTAAAATGATTCATTCAGTGAGTAAATGTTGGCTTTTGTGAAAACAAATAYCTAGATTTATCCAGTGCCATACMAAGGGTAAACAAWCCTTTTCCCTAGAACAGGGGAACASTATGTGGAAAGCTCTCTAAATGTTACCATCTAAGTGYTTTGAAATATTTTAATGGTCAGCATCCTTTTCAAGYATGGTTTTGGTTCCCATCTTTTTTCTCCAATGCTTGAAGGTGGAGAGCAGGACACTGTGGTAAACCTCCCCTTTTCTTTTGAGCATTTTACCTTCAGGAAAACTGTAGCAGCATTGGTAGATACTTTTTCTGAGACATTCCTTCCGCATTTCATATCCTGTTGAACAAGTTGTAAAATTAGATGCTAAAGATACTATTTTAAAGTTAATAAGATTGTCAAAACCAACTCTGTAGTCGTTGACATAAGGCTAACAAAATAGGCAACCTGTTCCAGGCCTCAGATTGCTGTTTTTTAAGAAAATGAACAATTCAACCTTACAGATGAATTGCACAGTTTCTTAGTAACCAGTAAACCAAGATTTTGGCTTTAAGATATATCTGTTTTGAATATACGTATGCATTAAATGCTAACTAAGTCAAGAGAAGCAAATTTGTGTATTACTTCTAGATAGTTTCTTGTGTTTCAAAAAGAGAGCAACTTCAACTATTTATAAACTGTAATTAAGTTTCTTTACAACATGACTCATTCTCAACAAGCAAGTCCTTTTTCTTTTGCCGTCTTGTGAACTGTGTGGGAAAATTAGGGTTCAATCAGTGAAGAATTTACTCAATGCTTAATTACCCATAAACAGCYCTCCAAGTTCTGCTCATGTAGAGCTTGCATAAAGACATGATTTTCCCCACACTATGGCTGTCTAAAAATTGACTTTTAAAAAATGATCTGTAAATTKTAATGTAGGAGAAAGAAGTGTTTTACTGGCTTCTTTCTTCAGTCTGCTTCTATGAGTTTCTCTTACATTAACAGTGTGATACTTAGGAGAGCCAAAGTAAGAAATCATCAGGATTAAATTACTTTGAGCATGGAACTAAATTAGAAAGCTTTACTTTCCTGAATGAGCTAATTGTTTAAATTTTCCAGAGGAAATGTTTCTATTTCTGCGAGAGAAGGGGTAAATAGGACTTCCTCTGACATAATTTTCATTTTAAATCTGAGTTTGACAGCAGCATTTTTACCTTCATAACCAAATATTACAGCTTAACTGCATGACTTGTATAAGCTTGCTAGTTGAAGTGACTCACTTACGCAGATGAAGTTATTTTTAGGGAGATAATTTGCACTGTTTAGAACAGAGGAAAAAAGGGAGAGAGAGTCCTACTAAGAGCTGTATCTCTCATTATAGTTTACAGAGCTCGTGAACCCAGCATCCAAGCAAAAGATGACTAAGCAAGGGGTCTATTGGTACTTTCAGGAATTTACAGACATGAGTCATCTGCTTATTTTCTGCAGACTTATCACCAGGGTACTTTGTGAGTCAGCTGTTATTTGGAAATAGTACTTGTATTCAACATGAATACGTTTTTTGTAGTTCTTAGGTAACTAGCATGCCAAACCAAGACTGCTTTTACAGTTTGCCTAGTTCAGGTGTTAATTTACAACACTCATGTATTGTTCTTAACTGTGATCAGTTTATTTTTCATGGCTAAGTGTGAATGTTGTCTTGCTTGTAATCACAGCAATACCTTTGTCACCTCAGGTATTGCATTAAAGCAGATCTGATTTTGTATTGATGTACAGATTGAGATTCAGACTACCTGCACATGACCAGATAAAAAGAAAAGTTTTCTGTAGCAAGCCATGTGTGACGATGARCAGAATTTGGCCTTTCATGTCCAACACACCTTGCCAGCATTAATTACCAATGGTATTTGCTTCTTTTTTTCATCCTCTGCGCTAACAGTGTCAATGGACRGGCATCCACTGGGACGGAAGCAAGTTCTTGCCTTCCTTTCCTATAGCTGAAATAATAGCTGGCTACCTTGAGATAAGTATAACACTTTAAACTCAAGGCTATTTCCTGTTTACTGGTCTTTTAGGTGTGGTTGTGTTCCAGAATTAGGGACAGGTTTTTTTGTTTGGTCTGGACTCATCCACACCTTGTACTAAGGGAACACTTGGGTTAGAAAACTGGAAGTTTGGCAATTTTAGGTGAAGGGTAGTGTTATAAATCAAAGGCATGTTAAWTTTTTCAAAACTCTATTTGCAGTTCAGGGTAATACTGCTGTTGTCCAGATGTGCATTGCACAATTTTGAATCTACTTTGATTATCTGATTTATGTGATCAGATTATAATGTAAGTAATTCCTGAAAATTCCTGTAGAGGTTTTGGTTAATAGAATATATTTTGGTAGCATCTCCTCATAACAAATGCAGGTGTCATTGTAGTGAGAGCACTGCCTTGATTATCTATTTTAAACAGCATTCCTATTGCTAGATACTTTGTCTTAAGAGCCAACCTTTAGTTTTAGGTAACAGGGAAAAAATTGTTGCCACCTGCCTGCGTTGTGTAAATGGGAGTTTTGAAGGGAAAGTTAATGGAAGTTAGAAATTCTCTACTAAAAAGTTAAGTACAAGGACTAAAGTATTACTTGAATGCTTTGCTAAAGTTTGTTATTCCTCTCACACAGTTATGAAAGACAAAAGTATACAGACTTGGTTTCTGTTAAGGAGTTGGTGCTTAAGAAGGAAAAAGATGCACTAGAGAAACAGTTTAAGCACTCAGAGCTGAAGTAGTATATTTATAACACTAAAATAGAGTATCAGTCTCCTTGTTTCTTTACTCTTTTCCATGGTGGAATCCTTCAGAGACCAATGCACACACACCATTTGTGAGGGGAGGAGAMAGCTTCCTTGCTGATAAATCACCACATTACACCAATGTTTTTCAGGGTTGTTATTTAGTAATCACATTATAAAGAGGAATTCGACAGAGCAATCTTTGAATCTAACCTTTGTTAAAGCAGTAATCTGCCCTCAAATTAGCAGAACTCTGCCCATGTCATTAGTGCTTAAATATCTGCTGGAAGCTGCTGTGTGGGTTGAGTCACTTGGACTCTGGGAGTTGTCACGTGTGGCTCAGACACTGGGTCATGAACTGAGCAAGCMCTGTCCTCCACGGGAGGATTTGTTGTATTTTGGGACTATGGCTGCAATAGCACATTTGATTTAGCATACTTCATGGCCACAAACGCCTTGGAGGGTATTTTAGGGAAAAGGGAGATACGGTGTAGCTGATGCATATCTGAGTATTTAGATGTGATAGATAAAATGAAGGAGCTAGCAGGATGATAGCRTGGAATTTGGCAACTAAAACCTGTCTTACGCTGTTAAGTCTGTGAGGAGAGATTTCATAGGAAGTACTGGAATTTTTGGAAGTATTTAAAGTACAATTCCATTGCAGTGTTCTTTCACTGTGCAGAATTTCAAAAATGTGATTTGGAGGATAGCAAAAAGTATAGTTATAGATGCTTTATAAATGAAACCTACACCTTTAAAAGTAGTGCACATTCCTGTGTTAATTTGGATTTTAGATTAGACATTTAATACAAGTAATTAAAATCTCTTATCATAACTCAATTTAACTAAAGCCTTCTGAAATAAAAAATAGACCTAGAAAATATAAACTATAATTCTAACAATGAAAAAGTAAAGTTAAAAACCAATTCTGACCATGAAAGCATACACAGTTTCTAACTGTTGTAGACTATTGTTCCACCAGACCTAGCTGATCATGAGACAGTGATAAGCAAAGGGAACTAAGAGGTTCTGATTTTTATTTTTAGTGAGATATTTTGGTATTAATGACTTTGCAGTGTGTTTTTGGTTTTGTGGGTGTTTTCTTGTCTAGCAGATGACAGCAAGTTGAAATCTTTTCCAGCTCATGTGATTGAATCTTTCTATATTCTATATCAAATCATTTGACCACTTCAGGACACAGAGAGATGTCAAATGAGAATGATAATACTTTTGATGGGGACAATGAAATGTATTGGTTAAAGCCGAAATAAGATAAATTTGTTTTTTGAACGGAAAGCATAAGAGAATGTACTYTCTGAATTTTTGAAAGGGGAGATTTCACTATAAAAGGTGTTTTTTTTTTTTAATAACAAAATAATCCTGGTGCAAATTTTATTATTAATGTAGCAATACACTAGCTAAACTTTTCAAAAATTGTGTACTTTACAGAAGTGTTTTGGTAAAGTGTCCCATACAGCAAYGGGTTGAAATCATTACTTATAAGAAATGCAGAAGGATGTTATAGAACTAACCACCAGTTTCTCCTTTTCTGTCACCTTTAAACCTTTATAAGAGACCTTTATAATAGAATGGTCTGATACATTCCCAATAAGAAAAAATAAAAAAATACACTGGTGTATTTTTATTACTTTCTTTTCTTTTTGAATTACAGTTGACCTCCCCCTGTACTTTCCTCGAGACCAACCAACCCTCACGTTTCAGTCCGTCTACCACTTCACCAACAGTGGCCAGCTGTACTCCCAGGCCCAGAAGAATTACCCGTACAGCCCCCGATGGGATGGCAATGAAATGGCCAAGAGAGCAAAGTAAGTCAGATTGCTSTTTCCTACTAAATATTCCATTTGTTACATGGTCTTTGTGGGTAGAAATTTCATGGATATAGCCATACATTTCCAGTGTTCCAAAAGCTGAACCTGTTCTTGTTCTCATACAGTCCTGCTGTTCCTGTAGATGAGTGTAGACAGATATTTTACTAATCATGCTTATTACAGTAGTGCCAGAGGACTGAACAATGGAAGGCTCTTTCTGCTAGGCTTTGTATTGGCACAGAGTGGGGACAGTCTCTGCTCCRGAGAACTTCAGTCTGAGTAGATGAAATAGCCCCCAGCAGGAGTAACCTGCATGGTAGCAGTCAGTCAAGGTAACTCCCTGAGGTTGTGTGGATTCCTGAAGGGWAGCATGTGAGATGGAGAGAGCAAGGAAGAAAAACCTGAAAGATAGGGAATTAGGCTGTAATAAAAAGACATGGAAGAAAGGAGGAGGTAGAGCAAACCATTCCAGCACAGGAGGCAGTCTATCAGATCTTGAGAAAGTTATCTGAAAATCTGAGTATCTCTTGCTTTATTGCTTTTCTTGTTGGAAACAAAGAATTTCTGTCTCCTTCCTTCGCAATTTTTCTGCAAGCCCTTGGTTTTGGGCTGAGTATCCCTTTAGTTAATGATGACAGGTCAGCCTCACTGAGAGATTCTGTTGCCATAGGCAGTGGTGCCCCCAAAGCTAGATATTGTCCCTGTCTTCTCATGAGGCAGAACAGATTTTACCTGAACAGGGCAATACGGGSAGCAGCCTTGCTGCAGTGTTTTGATTTTGCAAAGTGTAAAAATGTCAGAACAGTGAGAGATTTAAGCAGTCTGATTATCAGTTGTTCAGCATATAAAAGCATCAAACTGCATAAATCACAAGGCATATTGGGATGAACGTTTTGAATGACAGTCAGGAGATTAAATTAAATCAGCAAATATGCATAAAGAAGAGTCGAAATAAAAATAGTTCAGGCTGAGTAAATCAAATGAGTGGCATGGTCAGAGACTGTAATTTAGAAATGATGGAAGCAAACAACAATTGACTGATGCATTTGTAGATTTTTATAATAATTCAAATTATATGGACAACATCAAGAAACATTTTATTATGGATTTTGATGCATTGTAACAAAAAATGTTTTGCTTCTATTTAGTTTTGTCACCATACTGTTTATAGGAGCAGCATTTCTTGATCAAATATGGTTTTATGTATGTGTGTGTGTGTACTTTCTTCTTTTCTCTAACAGAATATTATGAGCATTTTGTTTATTAAAAAAAGAAAAGGAGAAACAATAACTGGACTCATTAGTGTGGCTTTTTTTATTACTGTACTACAAAATGCATTTCTTTTGTAGCTGAAAACTTACAAGTACCTATGTGCTTTCCGCTAAGTGCATTCACTTTTGTGTGGGTGTTTACAAATGGACTTCTCTGCCCTGCACTTGAAATTTAGAAGTATTACAACAGTTCTCTTAAAAAGCACTAAATGTGTACACTTACTATCACATGTACGTTTGGTGAGGTTATTCACTCTTACGTTTGAGCCTCTGCATTTAAGTTTACACTGGATACGTAATATGAGAAGGATGATGAGAAGCGGGGGAAGACAGTGTGCTGAGATGTCTGAAATAGCAATCATTGAGCTGCAAAGAGACAGAGGAGCTGCTCCAGTTAAAAGCGCTTTGCTTGCAGGAACAGCTAGTGATTCCTGAGTACATGCCATAAATAAATCTGTATCAAGAAAAGTATGATGTTATGATACGTGTGAGTGTATTTTAAGAAAGATTTTTAACACAATTGRGCATCTTATGCAAACAGTGTTTAAAATATTTGCTAGGGCTTCTTAGAATAGGTTAGTATGTTTCAACACAACCAAAAAAACTTCTTATTCTAYTTCATTTTTACCACAGATATGTTATGGACCAAATATGTATTTCCTGTTGATATATTGGAAAGCATTCTAATTAAATACATTAGTTCAAACGCCACGTTTAGGAAAACTTCCCAAATGGAAACAGAAAAAAAGGATACATGATTTACCCTGTAGAAACAATGTCATTCTGCTCAGCTGAAGTAAATTTAGCCCTGGTTAAATCAGACACAACTTGTTTGTGTTTCTAAATACTGTCAATTAGGTTTTGCTTATATACAGTCTTTTTCCCTCTTAGCAAAATGGTCTCCCAAGTTCYTAGCATTCTTTGAGACAAAACATCACTGTTTATCTTCCTGGCTGTTGCTCTAGGGCCACAGGATCTCCCACTTGGTGTTCCAGTATCTGACCAAATTCTCCAACCTTCTTCTCAGACTTTGAGAATCAGTGTACACTGTCTTCCTCACTGGAGCTAAAGACACCATCAGGACAGCTTTTGCTTGCTCTTGCACCAACCGTAGAAGCATCATCAAGTTTGAAATGGCATCAGTCACAGATTTCTTCATCCTTAGTTTTGGCAGGCCATGCCTCTTTTCTGCATCTCAACACAGCCTGCTTACTCATGGACAGAGTTGTCCTAAGTTCATTTCAAAGGGACTTTGATTCTGTGCCCAGCCTTATCCCAAGGTTGTTTTGGTGTGGGTTATTGGTTTTTTTTTTCCAAAGAGATGAGTCCATCCAGTTTCYTCAATGAAGGGACTAAACTTGAAAGTCTTGGTATCCTCACTTATCTCCATAGCCCCCAGCAGAATCAGGCATCTCTTTTGAAGTTAGGAATTACCCTTTGCTGCAGCCTTGAGACAATCAGTAGTAACTATAGGTAGGAGCAAAATTAGTCCCCTAAAATGCATACATATAAAAGTAGATTGTAGGCATTCACACCTAGAGACATAACACCTAAATCTAAAAGGCAAATTCTCAAATCAGAGTATCAGTTTAGCTGGATCTTTTTTATTCAGAGACAAGAACTGCTCATGGTCTTGCTGAAGTGATTGGGCCAATTTATGTCTGTCTGATACGAAGTCCATGAAGTCAAGCTCTCATTTTCTGTGTCCTCTTAGGCAGATTTTAAAATCACTGGACTCCTTTGCAGTGCACTGACTTAGATTCCTCACTGAGAGATAGCATCTGGTAACTGAAGCTTGCTATTGTCTTAGCCCAGGGATTGCCCACTGGCTTTATTTAATTCTGAAGGATGAATCAAGTCCTGATTTAATAATGTGATTCCAGTTRCCTCCAGATTGCTTGTTTCTCAACTAACACAAAATTTTAACCTGTTCCTCCAGCTAGAAACAGGGAAACCAAAAACATTAAAATTTCCTTACAAGCTGCTGAGATGCCATTTCCTCTCAGTTGGTATCTCAGGCTTTGCCTCTTTTAGGTCATTTATTTATATGTCTGTGGCCTCCTGCGTAAGCAGCTTCTCCAAAAGATTTGGTCCTAAAATACAATGGCAAGCCTAAGAAAATACAGTAAATTATGGAAAGTTAGCAGCCTTGTTTGTGGTGTACGTGTGAAATAAAACATCTCTGTGCAGTTTCCATGGGAAAGCTTTCTTGTCTCTTTGCTTAAAAAGGCATTCAAGTGTACATAAATGGAGTCTTTAAAGAACATGCAGACTGGAAGCCTGGGATTTTATGAAGGAATACTGTAAATAAAGCTTGTTTGTTTATACAAATGAAATTCAGTTCTTAGATGCACTCTGGCCCAATTTCTGTCCAACCCAGTGCTGCTCTGTAGACTTAGGTTATACTTCAGGGGAGAGCAAGTTAAAAGTCGGTTTACTCTTTTATCCTACATAAATCCACCTACTCATTATCAAAAATAGCAGGAGCATGGAAAACTGGTATCACAATAAGAAGCTGTTCCAAGAGTTCATATTCCCTTTTTTCTTTCCTAGTTGGCCAATAAAACAGGTTTCTGAATAACAATGTTGTCCATGGCCATTTTTCAACGTTTGCTAAATGTGCTGTAAATTTTATATATCCCTTAGGGCATTCAGAGGGTGAAAGCTTAAAAGGGCTCAAGTGCTCTCAGCTGTATATTGGCTGTTGCTCTGCCATGAGGTCAAGTGCATCTTCAGATTATACGCAGGCACGTCTTGTGCAAGCCGTGTGTGTATCCCCAGCATGGCTGCAGCTCCAGTGTGTGCTCAGCGTGCCACGCTTAGGAAGTGTCAGGCTGCTGAAGTGGGCCATAGCATTTTCAGCCTCAGCAATACTGTTCCTTGAGTATCATCTAATCAGATGATCTGTATCGTGTATCATCGAACTCCCCACTACAAGAAAGACCTTGAGGTGCTGGAGCATGTCCAGAGAAGGGCAGTGGAGCTGGTGAAAAGTCTGGAGCACAAGTGCTATGAGGAGCAGCTGAGGGAGCTGGGGGTGCTTAGTCTGGAGAAAAGGAGGCTCGGGGGTGACTCATATTCCACTGAAGGGTGGACATTGGCCTCTTCTCACAGATAACAAGTGATAGGACAAGAGGATATGGCCTCAAGTTGCTCCAGGGGAGGTTTAGACTGTATATTAAGAAAAGTTTCTTCACCAAAAGGTTGTCAAGCCAGGCTGCCCAGGGAAGAAATGAAATCCACCCTTGATGGTATTTCATAGGTGTGTGGATTTGGCACTTTAGGGACATGGTTTAGTAGTGGGCTTGGCAGTGATGCGTTAGTGGTTGGACTCGATGAACTTAAARGTGTTTTCCAACCTGAACAGTTCTGTGATTCTGGAACTACATTTATGTACAAAAAATGCATTTCTTAGTCTAATAAAGTGATATTCAAAAAGAAAAAAGGACAGTTGTGTTGCTGTTTAGACATATAAGCTGTAGTCTGTCAAAGACTTGCTGTTGTATTCAGAAAACTTTGAGTGCCCTAATTTTTTTAGTTTTGACTTTACCAGTTTCAACTCATCCATGTTTTTATTATTATTCAGATTTCTTTCACATTTTAGGCAGAATATCACTGTATTCCAAATTCTTTAAAAATAACAAGTTTCACAATTTTCATGMAACTTTTGATTTCCAGCTATGCTGCCATGAATCTCACTATTTACATGTAAATATTGCACCCTTT